GGCAGATGATGGTGCAATCGCGTGCGCAATAATAAAATTCATGCCCATCCCTCAGTATACAATGCAAGCACACTAAGAAAGTCAAATGAATGGGCGCATAGCTTCTGGTTGCTTAGTGGTGAGCAATCCGTGTCTAAACCTGGGTCGTGAGCCGTGAATATGGGCCGTTGGCACCACACCATCCCACCGCGTAGCGTAGCCTTCGCATACCCCCTTCCCCCCCACTCTCCGCCTCCCCTCCGTTCTTCTCTCCCATTTTACATTCAGCTGGAGTGACAATTTCGCACTCCAGGGGTGAAAAACGTCACAGCAGGACAGAGGGGGCAAGCCAGACAGAGGGAAGACATCATGCACAGCAGTGCATGAAGTTGACACGGCAGTGCATGAAGCTGACACGGCAGTGCATGTGCATGAAGCTGACACGGCAATGCATGAAGCTGACACGGTAGTGCAAGCCACACGCCAACAGAGGCACACTACCAACCAGAGGAAGCACAGCATGCACGCACCAGTGAGGTGAGCCTGCCGGTAGTCCTGCCAGCTGAGCGGAGGAAGGCGAGCACGCGGTGCTGAAGGGGGGGAAAGGGAAGGGGAGGGGAGGAGGAGAGCGAGAGAGAGAGAGAGGTGGGTTTAGAGAGGGGAGAGGGGAGGAAGAGGGGGGGAAGGCGTGGCGTTTCTAACGTACCTTAGAAACGCGTGCTTCTGATGTTAAGCATTCGGTGTGCCATTGGTATGTTGAACACAGCGAGATCTGATATTGCGCTTCTAATAGCAGCCCGAATCGCGCGAATTTGTCGCGCGTTGATGTTCCGAATCTTACGAATTCGTTCTCTGGCAGCGTCAAGTCAGACGGGATCGTCCGACGACGAGTCCGACGGGATCGCTGCCATCGTCGCGTAAGCCGCTTCCGCGTCGCACTCTTGTAACTGCACCGCACGGGCAATAGCATTATAGTAGAGGGGGAGGAACAGAAATAGCATTATAATCCGGCACTTCTGACTCTTATTCGACTCCCCCCGCGTCAGCTGCACATCCCCCGCGGAAAATTCAGCAGATTCGACTTCCTAGCCCCGTCTTGCCCCGACTGTCTGTGGCACAGTCGCGACCCTTGTCCCCACATCAACCACCGAAAACGCGAAATTTGGCCGACTGGGACAGGATTAGGAAACTTCCTTCAGCTGGAGCAGAGGCGGCGTTAGTTCGGTAGGTTCGGGAAAATGGAATTCGTAGGCGAAGTCTCGCCAAATCTTGGGTGCTTCGGCTGGTGTGTCGACGTCTGCGTCTCCTGCTGAGCTGGCGCAATTTTGCCGCCATTCTGACCCTCTTTGTGTGTGTTGAACTTGGCCTGTCGGGGGGGTCAAATCACCGCGATCCAAGCTTCGATCCAGATCCGAATGAAAGCGTCTAGCCGTGTAGAATGTAGAATCAGACGCCTAACCGTCTCCGGAATCTCTCCCGGTGGCGGCGGTGCGTGCGAAAGTGAAAGGAGAGATCTGGCGAGCAAAGCGAACTGCTGCCTGTGGTTATAGTAGGCGCGTTAGCCTAGGCGACGCGAGCGACTGCAAATCCCCTGGGGTCGCAATTGTGTGTCTGATGAGAAACGCACTAAAACGACGCGACTTAGTTCGGTGCTCGCACCACAGGCTTCAAGCTGCGAAGATCTCACTACACTAAGGTAGGTAAGTGAACCACTCCGACAGTGAAGCTCTTGGTGTGTTGTCCTAGTGCAATGCTTTCTGGAGTGATCTCTTCGAATTCGAAGGAATTGGTTCAGTAGGCCCTAATGTCCTAGCGATTCCCGAAGGATGCGGTTCAGGAGTGACGCACTGTAGCAAACCGACGGTTCAGGTCTCTGGCTTGACGGTACCATTTGATTGGAGGCGGGGTTCGAACGCACTGTGCAATCTGAGGCAATGGTTGGAAATTCGTAGGACACGTGTACAGTGAGTCCAGCGTGACTTCAATCGTAGGACACGTGCCTTAGAGCCCAAAGTGCTGGATGACTGGCGGACAACTTGGCCAGCTTGAACAGTGTCAAACACCATAGCAACTGGGTCAGTCGCGTGTAACCTATGGTTGTTAGTTGTGAGAAATTGAACGAGAAAATGAAGAAGAGAGGGGGTTCACTAGAAAGCAGCAGGATACATATAGGAAACCCTAAGGGGTTGTACTCGCTATAGAGTACCCCACTGCAGGCTAGAGAACAATAACATTCTGACACACCCCCATAGCCAAAGTGGGGTGTAATCAGCACAATAAGCAAGCAGGCATAGAGCAGGAGTTCACAATAGGTAAGTAAGGCTAGAGCTAATCACAGAGGGCAAGTGAGGAGGAGGAGAGACTGTGGGGGAGAGAAGATGGGAGGCGACTGATGACGCTGCAGACACACAGACGAGCTGCTGGCTCAGTGGCTACCGAAGCAAAGGCCCGGACTACAGGAGTAACTGGCTCCGCGGCTAAAAGTAGCGGCAGACGAGCAACTGACCCACAGGCGACTGGCGACTTCCGGAGATTGTAGCCTCCGGACTGCTGGTGCTGCTGACGACAAGACTGCTGCCTCCACGCAACCTCCCCCAGCTGCCCAACGCCCCTCTCACACACCCCCTGCTCAAACCCTAACCCTACACCCACAGCACCCCCGTAAACCCTAAACCCCAGACGCCCACACATCCACCTCCCTCAAAACCCTAGCTCCACTCCCACAGTACCCCCTTGAAACCCTAAACCCCAGGCTCCCACACATCCACCCCCCTCAGCGACAGCTGCAGCAGTGGGAGACGAAGGAGGAGGAGGAGCAAGGGAGACCACACACCCGTCACCCCCTTCTTGCCACCCCCAAACCCTAACACAGGGCAGGGCGGGATGGCGGGTAGGGAGGGGGGGGGGGGGGGGCGACGCGCGGCCTCCCAGGGCGCCAAAGCAGGCGGCAGAAGGGGCGACGCTCGCCCCCCCCCCCCCCCCCCAGGTTGCCCCTCCCGTCGCCTATCGAGGCGACCTGAGGGGGTCGCGTGCGGCCCTCGAAGGAGCTGCGACGGGCGACGGGAAAAAGGGGGGGGGGGGCGGTGCACCGGTGCGCCGCGGCTGGCGGCGGGGCATGGCCGGGGCGGGGCCGGGGCCGCTGTAGGCGGCGACGGGGCCGCGGAAAGGGCGGCATCGGGGCCGCTGAAAGGGCGGCGACGGGGCCGCGGAAGGGCGGCGACGGGGCCGCTGAAAGGGCGGCGACGGGGCCGCGGAAGGGCGGCGACGGGCCGCGAAAGGGGCGGCGACGGGGCCGCCAAGGGGCCGCGAGGGGCCTGGAAGGGCGGCAACGGGGCCGCGAAGGGGCCGCGAGGGGCTAGGAAGGGCGGCAACGGGGCCGCTAAGAGAAGCGCGAGGGGCACGCCACGGGGCGTGCCGAGCACAGAGTAGCAGCGGAAGCAGTTGGGTCCTAGGATCGGAACCACTCTGATAACATGTGAGAAATTGAACGAGAAAATGAAGAAGGGAGGGGGTTCACTAGAAAGCAGCAGGATACATATAGGAAACCCTAAGGGGTTGTACTCGCTAAAGAGTACCCCACTACAGGCTAGAGAACAATAACATTCTGACATTAGTAACCACATGGAATGCCTTGTATGTCGTATTGTCATTATATTCCCTATTACATGAGGGCTAATAACCGTGTGTAGATAATTAATTTCGGTTTTGAAGTGATGGAATGGAAAAACAATTAGTTATAAGCCTAACAATCACCATAAGGCAAAAAGACATACTGTGATACTTTTATTCGCATTTTTTGTTATTTAGGTTACGTACATTTCTCAGATTTGTAGCAAGGTTCATGGTTTGTTATTTAGCAAATGTACATTTCTCAGATCTGTAACATGGTTCATGATTGGGAGGGAGAAGCAAAAAATGCAGGGGGCAAGCAAGAGACGCAAGTGCTTGCGAGTGAGAGAGGCGGAGGACCTGCGGAGAGGCAGGTACGCGGGGGAAAGGGGCGGGAGAAGCAGCTTCGCTGGGGGAAGTGGAGAATTTAGATGTACACTGCGTACGGGGCGATACGAGGTGGGCTGGGGCGAGAGTCGATAGAACCCATTTTACAGTCCCGTTAAAGTCCAGATTCGTCGTACACTCACAGAGTAAGTATGGAATATCAAAAGAGGTACAGCTTCAAAAGGGCTGAATAACCAGAAATCAATAATAAAAAACAATAGGTACACCCAAATATACTAAATATTATAACACATGCCCTCATCTCATGTTTACACAGCATTTTAGACAACGGAAGACACAATTACTCCATAACCTCATGGTACCTGATACCAATTAAGATGTTTTTCTGTGTACAACCTAACAAGTGTAGAAACATTTGCATATCAATCTTATTCGACAGGGATTCGGCCTATTCTAATCGTATTCGTATCGTACGTGGGTCTGTATTCGGCCAAATAAGAATTCACGTACTATTCGACAAATATTCGAATAAACTATTCGTATTCGTATTTGTATTCGTATTTACAGGCTTACGTGCATTGCATTCAGGTGCATTGCGATGAGATGAATTGATGTTATTCTCCAATTCCTTGTGAGAGTCTGTACGGTTGTGCAGAGCATTGAAAGACAACATGCATTCTCCGGTTCCTTGTCAGGTGTGCCCCTGCGTTGCATTCAGGTGCATTGCAATGCAATGAATTGGCACTTTTCAGATTCATTGGGATTTATGCCCCTCAGAGCATACACATGAAAAAGGGGTGTTTCTGAGACGTCTCAAAACCACCCTTTTATGAGATGCATGAGATGCGCATAGTGGTGGTGAGGGTTCATGTGCAGCTGAGCTGAGAAATGCCATCTCCGCTCCCCCTATCCTCTCCCCTCTCTCTTTCCTGCCCCCTCTTCCTTCTCCCCACAACCACCCGCATCCATTCTCCTCACCCCTCACTGCAGGCCCAGGAAGGAGGTATGGCCGCTGACAGCGCGGCTGCTGCAGGAGATGAGCGAGGTGCGTTCATGGCTATGAGATGCACTCTCATTCCTCCCTTCCTCGCCTCTCCCCTTTTCCACAACGCCCCCTACCCACCACTCACTGCAGGCCCAGGAAGGAGGTGTGGCCGCTGACAGCGCGGCTGCTGCAGGAGATGAGCGAGGCACGGACGGTGGTGGTGGGGGTGCACGTGAGGATGAGTGACAGTGTGTTTGGCGCCTCCAAGGGCGGCGTCACTGATGCTTCCATGGCTGCTGCTTTGGAGAACGCTGCTCCCATCCTCGCCTGTGCCAAGGTGGGTAGTGGGGGGGGAAACAACCGCAAGAGAGGGAATCATGACTTGGAATCAAATCAGGACAAAAGAAGCAGGTGAATGCTGCAGGCTGCCCCCATCCTCGACTGTGGCAAGGTAGGATCAGGGGAGGGTTATGCCTGCCAAGGAAGGGAGTGATGAGGGCAAGGCAGGGAGTGATTAGGGCAAGGCAGGGAGTGATGAGGGCAAGGCAGGGAGTGATGAAGGCAAGGCAGGGAGTGATCAGGGCAAGGCAGGGAGTGATGAGGGCAAGGCAGGGAGTGTGTCCAGTTCCCCTTTCTCCTTCCATCTCTTCCTCCTCCCTCCAGCCTCTTCGACTCCTTCCAGTCCTCCATCTTCCCTCCTCCGCTTTGCCCCCCCCACCCCACAAGGCACGTGAGGCAGCGTATCACAGTGCAATGGACGCCAATAGTGTGTGTGTGTGTGTGTGTGTGTGTGTGTGTGTGTGTGTGTGTGTGTGTGTGTGTGTGTGTGTGTGTGTGTGTGTGTGTGTGTGTGTGTGTGTGTTTGTTTGTGTTTGTGTGTGTGTGTGCTTTTTTTTTTTTGAAAACAATACAGATTTCGCGAGGCATGTGAGGCAGCGAATCACAGTGCAATGGACGCTGGTACTAGGATAGTACGACATGTGCTATCCCCCGCCACTCTGCGTGCCGGGGATGCTCATCACATTATTTCACCATCATTTCACCCCTCTCACCCTCTCCGTTTTCTCTCGTTCTGCCAGGCAGTGGAGGACATGTGGTACCCCGCGCCTCTCACAGTGCGCTGGATGTTCATCACAGATTCTCACCGTCATCTCAACACCACCACTCTCGCCCCCTTTTTCTCCCCCCCTCCCCTCCTGTCTCCCTGCCAGGCAGTGGAGGACATGTGGTACCCCCCGCCTCTCACCGTGCGCTGGATGTTCATCACCAACTCCATCGACCTCAAGATGGCCATCCGCTCCCGCTTCCCTGGCAAGGTGCGTGCCTCTGCTTTCCGCCTTTCAAAAGCAACTCCCCTTCTGACTGCTTCTGGTACTACAGATTGCGCCTGCCACCTCGAGTGTTGAGGCTACTGGCTCACATTCTATTCGAGTGTTGAGGCTACTGGCTCACATTCTATTCGAGTGTTGAGGCTACTGGCTCACATTCTATTCGAGTGTCGCAATAACAACCACCCGGTAGGATCATCTTTATAGACCCATCCGCTCAGCCGTTACTATTCATGAGTGCCTGCAGCTCGAGAGAGCAAGCTCACTGATCACCGATCCATCTGCCTCCTCGTTCCAGCCCTCCACTCCCCATAACCCACCTTCGCGCTCCCACTCCCGTAACCCACCCACCCGTGAACTCCCTATCACTGCTGCAGCTACTCGAGACAGATTTCGTGTTGACTTTTGAGTCAACTCAAAGGTCATAACCCACCTGCGCACTCCACTCCCGTAACCCACCCCTGCACCCCCTATCACTGCTGCAGTTACTCGAGACAGATTTCGTGCCTCACCACTCTCAGTCATTCAGCGACGAGGACAAGGAGCAGGCTAAGGAGGAAGCAGAGCAGGGCTATCGAGAGATGGTGGCTGAGTGGCTCCTGCTGTCGTCTAGCAACTCCTTTGTTCTTCCAATCTCACGGTTGTCGCGCACTCCCCATAACCCACCTGTCCACTCCGCTCCCCATAACCCCCCCGTGCGCCCCCTATGACTGCTGCAGCTACTGGAGACAGATTTCGTGCCTCACCACTCCCAGTCGTTCAGCGACGAGGACAAGGAGCAGGCCAAGGAGGCAGCAGAGCAGGGCCATCGAGAGATGGTGGCCGAGTGGCTCTTGCTGTCGTCTAGCAACGCCTTTGTTCTGCCCGTCTCGGGATTTTCGCGCACCGCTGCCATGTATTCTCTGAATGCCAGGGCTCTTTTCACACCGCCTTATTACTGCGACCCAGAACAGCCACACCTGCAAACGGACTTTGGCATGGCATACAGTGGCATATGATTGTGCTATAGACAGTTTCATGATACCCTATTACATTTGCACTCTTTTACACCTGTAAATGTAGAAGCAGCACATGCTGTATCTTCATGGGAATTGTCTAGATCAATTCAATGACAAGCTGAATTGTTTGTACAACAAGGTAATCTTCCTCTGTTGGAGGTATTTTTGGAAGTCATGGGTGGTATTGAGACGTGCACCAATTGATGATGTGATGCCCATTCCCCACATTCTGGGACGTCTCAGGAGTTCCTAGCCTCTCCTACCGTACGACGGTATTTTATTTTGGTAATAAGTACACAGTATAATACAATATAGTAGCGTATCCTAGATCCCACTGTATGCAATCCCGAAATCTGTTTGCTGATGTGGCCGTTCCGGGTCGCAGTAATGCGGCGGAGTATAGATAGCCATTGGTCGTAGAGAGTACATAGCCGCGGTTCGTGAAAACCCTGAGATTGGCAGAACAAAGGAGTTGCTAGACGACAGCAGGAGCCACTCAGCCACCATCTCTTGATAGCCCTGCTCTGCTTCCCTCTTTGCCTCCTCTGTGTCCTTGTCCCCGAATGCCTGTGAGTGCCGCGGCACGAAATTTGTTTCGAGTATCTGTTAAACCCATGGGGAGCACACGAACGGAGGAAGGTTATGGGGAGTGGAGTGGACAGGTGGGTTATGGGGAGTGGAGTGGACAGGTGGTTATGGGGAGTGGAGTGGACAGGTGGGTTATGGGGAGTTGAGTGGACAGGTGGGTTATGGGGAGTGGAGTGGGCAGGTGGGTTATGGAAAGTGGGCAGGTGGGTTATGGGGAGTGGGCAACGTGAAGAGATGGGTGAATATGGATGCCTCTACCATACCATATGGGTGAATATGGATGCCTCTACCATACCATATGGGTGAATATGGATGCCTCTACCATACCATATGGGTGAATATGGATGCCTCTACCATACCATATGGGTGAATATGGATGCCTCTACCATACCATATGGGTGAATATGGATGCCTCTACCATACCATATGGGTGAATATGGATGCCTCTACCATACCATATGGGTGAATATGGATGCCTCTACCATACCATATGGGTGAATATGGATGCCTCTACCATACCATATGGGTGAATATGGATGCCTCTACCATACCATATGGGTGAATATGGATGCCTCTACCATACCATATGGGTGAATATGGATGCCTCTACCATACCATATGGGTGAATATGGATGCCTCTACCATACCATATGGGTGAATATGGATGCCTCTACCATACCATATGGGTGAATATGGATGCCTCTACCATACCATATGGGTGAATATGGATGCCTCTACCATGTGGTTGGTTGCAGGAGTGGCAAGACACAGAAAGAAGAGGCGCTCACGTTGCCTTAAGATTGCACACAAGATGCAGTCATTGAAAAAGGTGAAGAGATGTGTGAATATGGATGCCTCTACCATACCATGTGGGTGAATATGGAGATGGTAGCAGGAGTGGCACGAGTCAGAACAGAAGTGGAAAGTGGCATCGAGGCACTCACCTTGCCGAGGAAGTGCGATCGAATGGTCATGTTGGAGTTGATAGAGAATTGGTGATAAGCATCCATCTTTATCTGATGGAAACTTATGAAGCTTCAAGTGAATTCACCCTCATAAACGTCCAAAGTGCAGAGGAGCTCACCTTGCCGGTTAAGTGTGATTGAATGGGCATGTTGGAGTCAATAGAGAGTTGGTGATGAGCATCCATCTCTGATATGACTTTCTAACTCCTAAGAAACTCCTAGTACAAATTAGCAAAGCGCAGAGGCGCTCACCTTGCGGGGGAAGTGCGAGCGGATGGCCATCTTGAAGTCAATGGAGTTGGTGATGAGCATCCAGCTCTGGTATGACGACTGACTAGCATCCACAAAACTCCCAGAAAGCATCTGCTGAGAGCAAAGAAGCCCACCTTGCCGGGGAAGTGCGAGCGAATGGCCATCTTGAAGTCGATGGAGTTGGTGATGAGCATCCAGCGCACGGTGAGAGGCGGGGGGTACCACATGTCCTCCACTGCCTGGCAGAGTGAAAGGAAAAGGGGGAAGGGGGCCGGGGGGGTTGGGGTTTGAGACACGATGAGAGGCGCGGGGTACCACATGTCCTCCACTGCCTGGGGGGGAGAAAGATGGAGGAAGAAGGAGGGGGGGGAGTGGGGGGGGGAGAGGTTGGTTCAGATGATGGTGAGACGATGTGATGAGCATCCACCGTAGAGTGAGAGGCGGGGGATACCACATATCCTCCATTGCCTGGCGGGGAAATGGGGGAGGGGTGATGGTGGGGTGATGATGATGGTGGGTGATGGTGATGGTGGGGTGATGATGGGGTGATGGTGGGGTGATGGTGGGGTGATGGTGATGGTGGGGTGAGGGTGATGGTGGGGTGATGGTGATGGTGGGGTGATGGTGATGGTGGGGTGATGATGGTGGGATGATGGTGGGATGATGGTGGGGTGATGGTGGGGTGATGGTGGGATGATGGTGGGATGATGGTGGGATGATGGTGGGATGATGGTGGGATGATGGTGGGATGATGGTGGGATGATGGTGACACATTTCTAGAGGCAACGTTTTCGCTGGTGATTGGCGATAGAACTCAGAGGAAGGAAGGCTCACCTTAGCACAGGCCAGAATGGGAGCAGCGTGCTCCATAGCAGCAGCCATGGAGGCAGGAGTGACGCTGCTGGTGGTGGCGTGGGGGTCTCGCACCGCACTGTCGCTCAGCCGCACGTGCACCCCCACCACCACCGTCCGCACCTCCCGCATCTCCTGCATCAGCCGCGCCACCAGCGGCCACACCTCCTTCCTGGGCCTGGATGGTGGAGGGAGGGGGCATATGGTGGTGAGGAGGGGAGATAGATAGAGTGGTGGGAAGGCAGCATATGCTGGTGGGAAGGGGCCATAGGGAAGGTTGGGTTGGGCGCACTGATTTCTGGGCGCAGGGGGGTGACATGCTGATGTGAAGTCCGCACCTCTGCAATTCACTGGGATGCTGCAGGTCAGTTCATATTGCAATGCACGCACTTACCCTACGATGAGGCGCCTCAAAACTCAACTAAATGCACGCATTTAACGAGTCTAGAGGCTCTCATTCGATTCATCTCATTGTAATGCACCTGAATGCAATGCATGGGATAAATGCGTAGTTTTGAGACGTCTCAAAACTACACTTGTATGTAATGCACCTGAATGCAATGCACGGGAATACCTGCAAATGCATCTCCCTGCAATGCACGGGCAGCACACCTGACAAGGAACCGGAGAATGCAGCCGAAGGCGTACGGTGGGCGCAGTCCGGTCGCCCTGAGCGCATCGGCCCACTCGCCCGTCCCGTTTGTAAGCATCTCCGTCAAAATCCCCCGGTTCCACAGCACCTTCACGTTCCGAAACGCCTTAAACTTCGCCAGCTGCTGCAAATCCACCCGATTCCCGTTCAAATCGAGAAACGGAACCTCCCCCGGCGGGAAAGACTCGTTCAGGTTACCCGTGCGCCGGGAAGGCTCCATGGGAACATCAGGGGACGGGCGCCAGTCGATGAATGCGGGCTCGAACGCGTACTGGACGCAGTCGTGCCGGATCACAAACGCCCGGCGGTCTAAGAGCGCGGCGACAAAGGAGGAGACGACGCCCACTAGAAAGTCCCCGAACCCGCCGCAGTGCCCGTGCTCGTCGAAGGTGAGGAAACGGACGGACGAAGCCGGGAGGGCCTGATCTGACAGGCTTGGGTCTGGGACTGCCGCTGCTGCTGCTGCTGCGGTTGGTGGTAGCAGTGATGGGGAATTTGCGAGAGAGAGCAATCGGCGGGAGGAGGGAGGGGGAGGGGGAGAGGGAGGCGGGGTGTAGGCGGCGGCACTGGCGGCGCGAATGGCGGAGTGCAGGCGGACGTAGTCGTCCCGCCATGCCGTGCCACAGAGCGTGTCCGAGTACTCAAAGTCCACGTGGGCCGGGGACGAATCTGTCCTCGCTATAGTCAGACGCGACTGGAGCACCTGCGAGGACAAATAAATATCAGGGCGTGTTGGGCGGTGGGGTAGTTGAGGGCTGGATGGGGGTTTGGCGAATTTTCCTGAAACGAGGCATGTGTGAGATAGGTGATGTGGGGCACGAACAAAGGAGGGACCAGTGGGGAAGGAAGGCAACAACGTGGTAGGGGTTATTAGATAGGATTAGGCGGGAAGGTGGACGCAGAAACAGCATTCAAAGATAAATTCGGTTAGCGACTGCTTGCGTCGAATGACAGCATTCTTTGAGCGAAACAACATTCCCTTGGGCATTGCGCAACAGCCTTGCGTTTGAGAATATTGCGTTGCGCGACAGCCTTGCGTAAAGGTTCTACATTGAGCGACAGCCTTCCGTCGAGAGGACAGCAGGGACAACTGGGAAGAAGAAGGAAGAACTCGAAAAGGCGGGAGCATTACAGTGGCAAGGAATAGAATTGATGCTGCGGTCGCCAGTAGCGATCGTGATACGTGACGGCGAGAACGTGACGTTAACTCCATATGGCAAGTTACTTCAGGTAAGAGAGCTTCGCCGTTCGCAAAATTGTTCGCCAGCCGAGAAGTTGATCGCGATCGCGAAGCTGAATTCTGGCGCTAATGGAAAACTACTAGTAGTACAGCTGATGAACAGTGCTGCGGATTACGAACAAAGGAACTGCGCGATTTGCGAAGCTGACGTCCGGCGCTGATCGTGAGCGATAATTATGGAAATGATTGTCATCGCATGCGGTCAGTACAATAGGTGGAAGTAGGAGTTGCTATTCATCGGAAAACAAGGCCAGCATCAGACGTAGTAGTGGCATTACAGCTGATCAACGACAAGCAGTAATTCCAGTTGAGAAGCTCCTTTCCCTGCAGACTCTTACTAATTTCACGGGTTTAAAATACCGAATTGTCTAATTAAACGCGATGATCCTAAAATTGGAGTAGTAGGTTGCTGGAGTGGCGGATGGTGCTATCTACCTGTAACCTTTTGCGACCTGGCTTTGGAAGAGATGATGGAGAAGTCGTGAGCGACGAGCGTGTCTTCACACTTCACCGAGGGAAGGGCCATTTTGGGCCCATGGCGGGGGGAGGAGAGGTCTGGTGGTCTGGTCTGGAGGGGCCGTGGTCTGTGCAGGTGGGTGCTCCGCGAAAAACACAACAGACTCGCGCCGCGTAAGGAAGGTAGGTGGCCGTCGCGATCGTAGTACTGTGATTCGCCACGCACTTCTTCCAATAGCGAGGGATTTCTGAAGCCGAGCCTTCACACGAAAGCATTAGGGTGGTGTTGGTTGGTGCTGCTTGTCTTTGACGAACTCGTTGGCGAAGAGCCTCAACGAGCTTCGTCGTGAGCAGAGTAACCGGTGGAGCTGACGTTTCAGGGTCGGTCAATTCTGGGGTGTAGCTGCGACAGTTTTGTCGGTAATCTCGCCACATGTGGCACTGTACTGTAGACGTTCATGTGTCCATTCACCACCACCATTCGTTGCAACATCCACGTCGCACGAACGTGTAGTGTACCTCTGGGCGGGTCATCCACCATCACATCACAGGTTCATCATCACCACAGTAGGTGTTTAGCCTCTGTGTTGTCTGGGTTACAACTTCAACTTAAAGCCTGGGTACAGCATGGCATTTTTCAAGTTCAAGATTCTTGAACTTGAAGTCGCCAAAAACAGGGTTACCTTTTTTGGTTTGAAATACAACTCGCGAGGCAGGGGAAAACTCTTGCGACGGTCGATCCTGATTGGTTTCTCAGCCCAGTCGCACAACAGATCCGACCATCGCTCACTAGGTTGCCCCGATCTCCTCTCACATATCTTGAAGACCAAGTAGTACTCCTAGCCCACTAGACTACTCACGTTAGGAAACGCACGGCATGGCGATAAAGGCTAGCTCTGGTAGAGGCGTTTTTTTTTTCATCCAACTCTACTCACTCACGCTGTCTTGCCAATAGCTGAGCAGCACAAGTTCATGCCAAACACGCTATTACCGTACCATTTTCGCATGCCAGACACGGAACGTCCATTCTAGCGCACGACACGCGCAATGCTCGTAGATGGCATTCCCGAGTCGCGAGTCGCGATCCCGGTTACATTCCCTCCCGTCGTTCGATCCCTACCATCACTGGTCACTCGTCCCTCCTTACCTGCCGTTCTCGCTTCCTCTCTTGTCGTCGCTTTCGTTGCTCGTCGTCCCTCTCCATCACCCTCACGTCTCCTGCTGTCGGCCACGCTAGGTCCATACTTTGCCTTCCGCGTCACCCTCGTCTCCCCTGGCCGTCGCCCTATTTTGCCTCGTCGACCGTAATTCCCGTTAAAAAAGCGTTCTTTTTCACATCAATCTTGGATTTTTCTTTTCAAATATACACAGGTATTTTTGTCACGCGTTATTCCCCGCCTCGCAATTCCCCTATCCACCTCGTCTCGCTCGCTTCCCTTCGTCGCCCGCAATTCCCCACGCCGCCGCGATTCCCCACGCCGCCGCGATTCCCCACGCCGCCCGCGATTCCCCCCGTTGCCGTCGCCCTCGTTTCCCCCCGACGCCCGGTTTTCCCACCACGCACCACACGCCTTTCCCCCCACATACACCATCCACCTTCTTCTCCCCACACCAACTGCCTTCGGCCAACACCACACGCCCTCCTCCCCCCCACATACCCGCCTCCTCCCCCCCACATACCCGCCTCCTCCCCTCCACATACCCGCCCTCCTCCCCCCCACATACCCGCCCTCCTCCCCCCCACATACCCGCCCTCCTCCGCCCCACATATCCGCCCTCCTCCCCCCCGCATAGCCGCCCTCCTCCCCCCCACATACCCGCCCTCCTCCCCCCCACATACCCGCCCTCCTCCGCCCCACATATCCGCCCTCCTCCCCCCCGCATACCCGCCCTCCTCCCCCCCGCATACCCGCCCTCCTCCCCCACACGTACTCAACATCCTTCCCCCCACATACACGGGACAGAGAAGGAGGGTGAGAGGGGGAGGGGGAGAGGGGGAGGGAGAGAGTGGGAGGGACAAAGGGGTAGGGACAGAGGGACAGAGACAGTGGGGGAGGGAACGAGGGGGAGGGACAGAGGGGGAGGGAGAGAGGAGGAGGGAGAGAGGGGGGGGGGGGGAGAGGGCGAGGGAGAGAGGAGGGAGAGAGAGGGATGGACAGAGGGGGAGGGACAGAGGGGGTTTGAAATATGGTGTTGGATGGGAGGGGGTTGGATGGATTGCGTGAGACGGGGGGGTGATTTGAAATTGGGTGATGGTATGAGATGGAGGGATTGCGTGCGATGGAGTGATGGAGGGCGGAATGAGATGGCGTAGTCTGCACATTGTTCACTCCCGTCCTCTCTTCCTCGGCTCCCACACCATCCTCCCTCCAGCTCTCTCCCCGTCAACCCGATCCCCTTCCCTGCTTCCCCCGATCCCCTTTCCTGCTTCCCCCAATCCCCTTCCCTGCTTCCCCCGATCCCCTTTCCTGATTCCCCCGATCCCCTTCCCTGCTTCCCCCGACCCTCTTCCCTGCTTCCCCCCATCCCCTTCCCTGCTTCCCCCCATCCCCTTCCCTACTTCCCCCCATCCCCTTCCCGCCTTCCCCCCATCCCCTTCCATGCTTCCCCCCATTCCCTTCCCTGTTTCCCCCTATTCCCTTCCCTGCTTCCCCCCATCCCCTTCCCTGCTTCCCCCCATCCCCTTCCCTGCTTCCCCCATCCCTTCCCTGCTTCCCCCCATCCCCTTCCCTGCTTCCCCCCATCCCCTTCCCTGCTTCCCCCCATCCCCTGCCCTGCTTCCCCCATCCCCTTCCCTGCTTACCCCCATCCCCTTCCCTGCTTCCCCCCATCCCCTTCCCTGCTTACCCCCATCCCCTTCCCTGCTTCCCCCCATCCCCTTCCCTGCTTCCCCCCATCCCCTTCCCTGCTTCCCCCCATCCCCTTCCCTGCTTCCCCCATCCCCTTCCCTGCTTCCCCCCATCCCCTTCCCTGCTTCCCCCCATCCCCTTCCCTGCTTCCCCCCATCCCCTTCCCTGCTTCCCCCCATCCCCTTCCCTGCTTCCCCCCATCCCCTGCCCTGCTTCCCCCCATCCCCTTCCCTGCTTACCCCCATCCCCTTCCCTGCTTCCCCCCATCCCCTTCCCTGCTTACCCCCATCCCCTTCCCTGCTTCCCCCCATCCCCTTCCCTGCTTCCCCCCATCCCCTTCCCTGCTTCCCCCCATCCCCTTCCCTGCTTCCCCCCATCCCCTTCCCTGCTTCCCCCCATCCCCTTCCCTGCTTCCCCCCATCCCCTTCCCTGCTTCCCCCCATCCCCTTCCCTGCTTCCCCCCATCCCCTTCCCTGCTTCCCCCCATCCCCTTCCCTGCTTCCCCCCATCCCCTTCCCTGCTTCCCCCCATCCCCTTCCCTGCTTCCCCCCATCCCCTTCCCTGCTTCCCCCATCCCTTCCCTGCTTCCCCCCATCCCCTTCCCTGCTTCCCCCCATCCCCTTCCCTGCTTCCCCCATCCCCTTCCCTGCTTCCCCCATCCCTTCCCTGCTTCCCCCATCCCCTTCCCTGCTTCCCCCCATCCCCTTCCCTGCTTCCCCCCATCCCCTTCCCTGCTTCCCCCCATCCCCTTCCCTGCTTCCCCCCATCCCCTTCCCTGCTTCCCCCCATCCCCTTCCCTGCTTCCCCCCATCCCCTTCCCTGCTTCCCCCATCCCCTTCCCTGCTTCCCCCCATCCCCTTCCCTGCTTCCCCCATCCCCTTCCCTGCTTCCCCCATCCCCTTCCCTGCTTCCCCCATCCCCTTCCCTGCTTCCCCCCATCCCCTTCCCTGCTTCCCCCCATCCCCTTCCCTGCTTCCTCCCCCATCCCCTTCCCTGCTTCCCCCATCCCCTTCCCTGCTTCCCCCCATCCCCTTCCCTGCTTCCCCCCATCCCCTTCCCTGCTTCCCCCATCCCCTTCCCTGCTTCCCCCCATCCCCTTCCCTGCTTCCCCCCATCCCCTTCCCTGCTTCCCCCCATCCCCTTCCCTGCTTCCCCCCATCCCTTCCCTGCTTCCCCCCATCCCCTTCCCTGCTTCCCCCCATCCCCTTCCCTGCTTCCCCCCATCCCCTTCCCTGCTTCCCCCCATCCCCTTCCCTGCTTCCCCCCATCCCCTTCCCTGCTTCCCCCCATCCCCTTCCTGCTTCCCCCCATCCCCTTCCCTGCTTCCCCCCATCCCCTTCCCTGCTTCCCCCCATCCCCTTCCCTGCTTCCCCCCATCCCCTTCCCTGCTTCCCCCCATCCCCTTCCCTGCTTCCCCCCATCCCCTTCCCTGCTTCCCCCCATCCCCTTCCCTGCTTCCCCCCATCCCCTTCCCTGCTTCCCCCCATCCCCTTCCCTGCTTCCCCCCATCCCCTTCCCTGCTTCCCCCCATCCCCTTCCCTGCTTCCCCCCATCCCCTTCCCTGCTTCCCCCCATCCCCTTCCCTGCTTCCCCCCATCCCCTTCCCTGCTTCCCCCCATCCCCTTCCCTGCTTCCCCCCATCCCCTTCCCTGCTTCCCCCCATCCCCTTCCCTGCTTCCCCCCATCCCCTTCCCTGCTTCCCCCCATCCCCTTCCCTGCTTCCCCCCATCCCCTTCCCTGCTTCCCCCCATCCCCTTCCCTGCTTCCCCCATCCCCTTCCCTGCTTCCCCCCATCCCCTTCCCTGCTTCCCCCCATCCCCTTCCCTGCTTCCCCCCATCCCCTTCCCTGCTTCCCTCCATCCCCCTCCTCGCTTCCCGCCTCCCTCTCCATGTGTCCTTCCACTCCCTGCCCAGGTGTCCTTCCACTCCCTGCCCAGGTGTCCTTCCTCTCCCTATCGCTGGCAGTTTCCCCCGTCGCTCGTATATTTCATGCTAGTCACCCTCGCTCGTTGGGAAATGGCAGTACGGGCGCTGTGCGTCGGCCAGCCTTTGCTGTGCGTCGGCCAGCCTTTCTCATCCTTACCTCTCTCTCATTCCTTCCCACTCTCACCATCCCATTCCTCTCTCTCCTCCCTCCTTGCACCCGCACTCTCTCTCTCTTTCCTCCTGCACTCTCTCTCTCTCTCTCTCTCTCTCTCTCTCTCTCTCTCTCTCTCTCTCTCTCTCTCTCTCTCTCTCTCTCTCTCTCTCTCTCTCTGTCCTTTCGCACTCTCTCTCCGTCCTCTCGCACTCTCACTCTTCTTCCCACTGCCCTCAGCCCTCCATCCCCATCCCTTCTCAACCCTTCCTTCCTTTTCATGCCCTCCCCTTCCCCCTCACTCCTCACTTTCAGCCCTCTAGTTTCCATGCATGTGCACCCATCTATCACTGTTTCTCCATACATGCTTTCATCGTGTGCGCTAGCTTGTATCCCCTTGCGGTTGTTCCCTTGCACCTCACACCACCTCCCCCATGTTTCTTTACACAATTCTTTCTGCCTATTCCACTCCCCTAAATTTCAGAGGTGAAGCAGAGGAACAAGCTGAGGCGCAACTAGTCGATGCTTTACACCGTACCACCGCCTCTTTCTTGTGTGTTGTATGCAAGCATGTTACGTCATTACTGCTGGAGATATCCATCCCAAAGGCACCATATGTACTTTTGTTTCTACAGTGCAAGATATTCGTCCAAGATGCATTGACACTAGTGTTAGAAGGGTACATAGAGGCATGTTCCTAATACTTTCAATTGTACCTTTCTCAAGGCCCTGAATAAACACGAGCGGAACTGGTTCCTCTATGAGCATGGCATGGGCTGATGGGCTGAGGCGAGTTGCAGTATAAGAAAAAATTCAGTGTAGTCACTGCAATAGTGAGGGAAAGGGAGACAATACGAGGAATTGGGAGGGAGAACAAGAAAAAGGTCAAACAGGGGAGATACGGTATTGGACATATGGAATAGGGGGAGAGGGAAAGCGAGAGATAGGAAGATGAGCCGAGGGGAAGAAGAGGGGGAAACGAGGGGAAGCATGGAGGGAAACGAGGGGAAACAAATTGGGAAATCCTGGGAAGCAGAGGGGGAATTGAGGAGAAGCAGGGGTGGAAATGAGGGGGGGCAGGGGCTTAATGAGGGGAAGCAGGTACAAACAGGGAAAGCAGGGAGGGAAATGAGGGGCAGCAGGGAGGGAAATGAGGGGCAGCAGCGGGGGAAATGAGGGGAGGTGGGGGGGGGGGATGAGGGGAAGCTGGGGGGGGGGGATGAGGGGAAGCAGGCGGGTACAAACAGGGAAAGCGGGGAGGGAAATGAGGTGAAGCAGGGAGGGAAATGAGTGGCAGCAGCGGGGGAAATGAGGGGAAGCATGGGAGGAATTGAGGGGAAGCAGGGGGGAAAATGAGGGGAAGAAAGGGGGTAAAGTAAACGAGGGGAAGCAAGGGAGGAAAGGCGGGACAGAGAGGAAAGGGGGAAGTGTGGAAGAGAGGAAGGGTGCAAGTGAGGAGATTGGACGAGGGAGAAAACAGGGGGCTAGCATGGGAGAAGCAAGCGGCTGACAGGGGGGTAAACGAGGGGCTAGGAGAGGGGAAGAGGAGGAGGAGATAGGGGGGAAAGGAATGGAATCAGGGGAATCCGCGCCTCACCCCCTTCTGCGCTTTATCTCCTTCCGCGCCTCATCCCCTTCCGCGCTTCATCCCTTCCACGCCTCATCCCCTCCCACGCCTGATCCCCTACCGCGCTTCATCCACTTCCGTGCCTCACCCCCTTCTGCGCTTTATCTCCTTCCGCGCCTCATCCCCTTCAGCGCTTCATCCCTTCCGCGCATCATCCCCTCCCACGCCTGATCCCCTACCACGCTTCATCCACTTCCGCGCCTCATCTGTCAGAACATTATAGCTTATACTTTTGTGTAGGCTGTAGAGGGTTATCCCATAGGGGGTACAACCCAATTAGGGTTAGTACTTGTACCCACTTCACTCATAGTTCATTCATTCTCGTTCTCACTTTCTCATGGTATCGAGCAGGTTCCCTCGTGGGAACTGTTCCTAGGGCCCACCGATCCTCTTTTTTTTTTTTCTGCCCGGGGCGCGTCCTGCCCCTGCCCGAAGAGCGCCTAGGGTCGCGCCCTTCTTAGCGGCCCGTCGCGTCGCCCTTAGCGGCCCGTCGCGTCGCCCTTAGCGGCCCGTCGCGTCGCCCTTAGCGGCCCGTCGCGCCGCCCTTACGGCCGCGTCGCGCAGCCCTAACGGCCGCGTCGCGCCGCCCTTTCACAAGCGGCCCGTCGCCGCCCTTCTCCTGCGGCCCCGCCGCCCTCAACTGCTGCGGCCCCGCCACCCTCAACTGCGGCCCCACCGCCCTTCTCTGCGGCCCCGCCGCCCTCTGCTGCGGCCCCGCCGCTCTCACATGCGGCCCCACCGCTTTCACCTGCGGCCCCGCCGCCCTCAACTGCTGCGGCCCCGCCGCCCTCAACTGCTGCGGCCCCGCCGCCCTCAACTGCGGCCCCGCCGCCCTCTGCTGCGGCCCCGCCGCTTTCACCTGCGGCCCCGCCGCTCTCGTTGGCGCCCCCCCCCCCCCCCCGCTCTCACCTGCGGCCCCGCCGCTCTCATCTGCGGCCCCATCACCTGCTGCAGCGCCGCCCGCCACCCGGGCTTCCCGACCCGCCCCACCCAGCCGAGCAGCCGACCACCGCGCCGCCCTGCAGCAGCACCGCCGAGCCGCCCGGGCAACCGAACAGCTGGACAACCGGCCGCCGAGCCGCCCAGCAGCCGAGCAGCCGAGCCGCCCAGCAGCCGAGCCGCCCAGCAGCCGAGCCGCCGTACAGTCGAGCCGCCGGACCGCCGAGCCGCACTGCAGCCGAGCCGCCCAGCCACCCAGTAGCCGAGCCGCCGATCTGCCGAGCCGCCCTACTGCCGAGCCGCCCGAGCTGCCCTGTCCGGTGAGCACAGTGCCTCTTTTTCTGCACTGCCCTCACCCTACTGTTGCACTGCTAGTCTACTGTGGTCATGGCTGACCCCACTGTTCGCTCCCAGTGGGCCACGCGCGATGCTTCTGTACGTCTTACTGTGCGTCGCCACCTCCCTACCTCCGAGCGTGCGCACTTTAGTCAGTAGAAGAGTGCTCAGACCTTGTACGACGCTGTAGTTGCGCGCTAATCCTCCCCTGCCACTGCTGCACTGAGCCGTCTCATGCTACCGTACCTCTTCTCTGACCTTGCTGCCTTTCCCACAGTCGCTGACCTCATTACGCACCTCCGCACTAGTGACACTCGCTACCACGCTGCGCTTCCTGCTGAGTTCTGCGCCAAGAACCCCCCCCCCCCCATGTACATCACTCTCTACTACATAGTCACTCGCCTCCCTGACTCCCTTCGCGTAGTCAGGGACCACTTCCTCTCAGTCTGTCCCACCACTCTCACTGTTGACCTCCTCGAGAAGTCCCTCCTAGCGGCCGAGAAGAGCATAGTCGCTGTAGGGGCCTCTCGTGGTGACCCGCGCACCCCCATCTTTGAGGGGTGCTCCCCCTCCCCCCTTCTGCCCTCTGTTGCCTCTGCTGCTACGGCCGACCTCCTTGGTCTTGAGTCAGTCGGTGCAGCGTCCGCCCCTAGCGGGAGACGCCGCTCTGGCAAGGGCAAGGGGGGCAAAGGCGTTGGAGGAGCGAGCGTGAGCGGTGGAGGTGGAGGCGGCGGGGGGAGTGGGGTGGCGGTGGGAGTGGAGGTGGGGGAGGAGGTGTCGGTGGCGGCAGTGGAGGCGGAGGCGGCGGCGCCGGTGGTGGTGGGAGCGGAGGTGGCGGAGGTGGTGGCGGTGGAGGCGGCGGCGGAGGCGGCAGTGGAAGCGGGGGCGGCGGAGGCGGCAGAGGCGGCGGGGGTGGCGGTGGAGCTGGTCGCGGGTCTACACAGAGGAGTGGTTCCGGTGGTGGCCCGCGCCAGCAGCAGCAGCGCGGTCGTGAGACCCTGTCCCCTAAGCAGCTCCGTGAGTGGTAAACTACACGCCAGCGAGGTGGGGGTTTTGGTCTGTGCACCTACGTCCTGCGCACCGGCGACCGTGCGGGTGAGCAGTGTGGGGGTGCGCACCCCACCCAGCGCTGCTTTGGCCGCCTGACGGACGCGTGGCGTCGCCAGTTCCCGGAGGCCACAGAGATCCCTCGCTGGGGCGAGCTGTCTGGGGCGGGAGTTGCTATCCATGATCTTGATTTTGATGCTATTCTTTCTGCCATGTATGCTGTGTCTATTAGTCATGAGGGTGACTGTTACCGGTGTTTCCCGCCCGATCCGGGCATTGGGACTGCTGCTCTAGGTACTGGTGAGGCTGCTGCCCTAGGTGCTTGTGACGCTGCTGCTCTAGGTGCTAGTGCGTCCGCGTCCTCAGGTACTGGTGAGTCTGCGCTCTCAGGTACTGCGTCGGCTTCGACCTCCCTCACCTTCACCCTTGACTCTGGGGCTTCTCGCTCCTTCTTTCGGGACCGCACTGTCAAACATTATATATGTTGTGTTAGTTTAGGCTACAGTGGGTTAGCCTATAGGGGGTACACAATTCTAGGGTTAGGTACTTGTACTCATTTCACTGCTAGTTCATCCATTCCTGTTCAGTGATTCCAACATGGTATAGAGCAGGTCCTTCCTAGGACCGAAATTTTCTAAGGGCCCACCACTACGTAACTACCTACCTACCTACCTACCTGTGCCCTAGGGCGCCTCGGCGTGTCACGCCCCTAGAGGCCCCTCTTGACGGCCCCGCGCTAGCCCCGTTCAGGCCCCGTCGGCCCCACGCCCGCTCTCCCTAGCGGCCCCGTTCAGGCCCCGTCGGCCCCTTTAAGGCCCCGTTCAGGCCCCGCGCTAGCCCCGTTCAGGCCCCGTCGGCCCCGTTTCAGGCCCCGTCGGCCCCGCGCTAGCCCCTCTCAGGCCCCGTCGGCCCGCGCTAGCCCCGTTTCAGGCCCCGTTGGCCCCGTTTCAGGCCCCGTCGGCCCCGCGCTAGCCCCTCTCAGGCCCCGTCGGCCCGCGCTAGCCCCGTTTCAGGCCCCGTCGGCCCCGCGCTAGCCCCTCTCAGGCCCCGTCGGCCCCGCGCTAGCCCCATTCAGGCCCCGATCGGGCCCGCGCTAGCCTCGTTTCAGGCCCCGTCGGCCCCGTTTCAGGCCCCGTCGGCCCCGCGCTAGCCCCGTTCAGGCCCCATCGGCCCCTTGCTAGCCCCGTCAAGGCCCCGTTTGGCCCCGCGCTAGCCCCGCTCACGCCCCGCGCTCGCCCCTCTAGGGCCCCAACCGGCCCCGTGCCGACCTCGCCGACCCGTGCCCACCACCTAGAGGCCCCGGGCGGCCCGTTCCCGCCGCAGCAAACGAGGGAGAGCGGGCGGCCCGTCCCCGCCGTGACCCGAGCCGCGCGACCCGAGCCGCGCGCCCCGAGCCGAGCCGCGCGCCCTGAACCGAGCCGCGCCACCCAGCCGAGCCGCGACCCGACCTGAACCGAGCCGCGCCGCCCTGCCCTACCTGGTTCGTCCTACCTACTTCTCCTACTGCTACTGCTGCTATTTCTACTGTTCCTATGGCTAGCCCACAGGTTCTCGTGTTCGATACTGAGGGCCGCCCTGTGAAGTTTGACACCTGGCTCGATGACTTGCACCTCTACCTACAGCTCACAGCCAAGGATGACATCTCACTGTACGATCACGCCCTAGGCCATATCACTGCCCCTGCTGCTACTGCTGACAGCACTGCTCGCTCACAGTGGCAGACTCGTGATGCCCACGCTCGCTTCGCCATTCGCAACTCCCTGCCGATAGACGAACGCGAGCACTTTGGTCAGCACAAGACTGCACAGGCACTGTACACAGCTGTAGTTGCTCGCTACTCCTCACCTGCCTCTGCCGCACTAGGCCGTCTCTCCCTCCCCTACCTGTTTCCCGACCTGGCCTCCTTTCACACAGTCGCTGACCTCATCACGCACCTCCGTACTAGTGAGGCCCGCTTCCGTGCCGCCATGCCTGCTGAGTTCCTTGCCACGCACCCCCCTCCACTCTGGCTCACTCTCTACCACCTAGTCACCCGCCACCCTGACACACTGCGTGCTGTCAGGGACCACTTCCTAGCTCGTTGCCCCACTGAGCTCACCATTGCCCTCCTAGAGAAGGAGCTACTTGCAGCTGAGACTAGCATAGTCGCTGTAGGTGCCTCTCGTGGCGACCCCCGTACCCCGTTCTTTGAGGGGTGTTCTCCTTCCCCCCTTCTTCCCTTTGTCGCCTCTGCTGCTGCTGTCGACCTTCTTGGTACTGAGAAGGTCGGCTCTGCGTCTGCCTCGAGCGGACGCCGCAGCGGCAAGGGCAAAGGGGGCAAGGGTGGTGGCGGTGACGGCGGGGGAGGCGGCGGTGGGGGCGGTGGAGGCAGTGGGGGTGGTGGCTCGGCTGGAGGGGCGAGTGGTAGCGGTGGGGGTGGTGGCGGCAGCGGTGGGGGAGGTGGCAGGAGTGGAGGCGGCGGTTGGGGTGGCGGTGGACGAGGCGGCGGCAGGGGTTGGGGTGGTCGAGGAGGTGGCAGCGGTGGTGGTGGCTGTGGAGGCAC